TTCAAGCGATTCTCATGTCTCAGCCTCCCGAGTAGCTGGGACAAGAAGTGTGCACTACCACGCCCAGCTAATTTTTATATTTTTAGTAGAGATGGGGTTTCATAAGTTGACCAGGCTGGTGTCTAACTCCTGGCCTCAGGGGCTCTGCCCACCTTGGCCTCCCAAAGTGCTGAGATTACAGGTATGAGTCACGTCACCTGAGCTTTTTTTTTTTTTTTTTTTTTTTTTAAACATAGAACTCAACATCTCCCCTTGGGTGTTTCACAGACATCTCAGATCTATCTCTGAGATCATCACCCCCTCTTTGAACCTGGTCCTCCTCTGGTGACCCCATGTTGACACGGCATCCGTCCCTCAGGTGCTCCTGGACACCACCAGGGAGCCACCCTGACCCTCTCTCCCCCATGGGGCTGTTCTCCCCAACCTGGAGATCCATGGTCATGCCTTCCTCTCTTGTCCCTCCAACCCACATCTAATCAATGGCCACTCAATTTCCCAGGTCCTCAATGGTGTCTCTGCCTTCAGCCTGCCTGCTCCAATCTGCACAGCAGCCAGAAGGATCCTTTAACCTGTGAATTGGCTGTGACACCCCAACTGGAAGACAGGCTGCACTAGTTTGTTTGGTTGTTTTTTTTTTTTTTTTTTTTTTTTTTGAGACAGAGTTTCGCTTTGTTGCCCAGGCTGGAGTGCAGTGCTGTGATCTCGGCTCACTGCAACCTCCACCTCCCAGGTGCAAGTGATTCTCCTACCTCAGCCTCCCGAGTAGCTGGGATTACAAGCGTGCACCACCACGTCCAGCTAATTTTTGGATTTTTAGTAGAGACCATGTTGGACAGGCTGGTCTCGAACTCCCGACCTCAGGTGATCTGCCTGCCTTGGCCTCCCAAAGTGCTGGGATTACAGGTGTGAGCCACCGAGCCTGGCCTGGGCTGCATGTTTTTTTTCACTTAAACATCAATGTCCTGTAGCAGAAAGACCTGGATTCTCTGCTCCTTGGATTGAGACCAGGGGATCAGGGAGCAGATCTGAGCCCTTCGTCCGGTGTCTCAGGCTCAAGCGTTTTCCGCTGATGTGGGCAGGGACCTTTTCAGCTGAAAACCAGGTTAGGAAAAGGGATGGCTGGTCCCAAGGCCCAGCACTTTCTCACATGCTGTCCCCACACCATAGGGGTCCAAAACACTCTGCCCACCCTTCCCCACTCAGCTCCCAGGCTTCTCCCTCCTTCGGAAAGTCCCCCTGGGACTACCTCCTGGAGGTCTTCCCACCTCACTGCCGGCACCTCTGCTGTCTCCCGGACCTGAACTTCTCGGCCAACACTCTCTCACTCAGTGACCTCCTGCTGTCTCGACTTTAAAGGCCATCTCTGCCAGGATGGCTCCCAGCGTATACCTGCAGCCTGGACCTGTCCCTGAACTCCCGATGCCTGTGCCACCTGCCTCCTCCCGTCTCCACTTGGACGTCTAGTTAACATTTCACACTTCACCTGTCTGCAGTAAGATTCCAGCTCTTCCTGCCTCCAAACCAATCCACTTCCCATCTGAGCAAATAGAAACCCCACTCTTCCATATGCCCCACTCAGAAACCCCGGCTTTGTCCTCGAGTCCCCCCTCTCTCTCACACCTTCCAACCCCCATGTCACTTCTGCCTCTGAGCATACTGCATCTACTCCTGCCTTCCCCTGAAGCCCCTGCCCAGCCTGAGCGCCGGGCCCCAGGAAGTCTCCAGATGGGGATGGACTTGCTGGCCTGGCGGACCTCATTCTGCAGAGAAGGTGGGATGGCCCCAGCTGGAGGGATCTGGTGTAGACTTAGGAGTAGCATGTCCCAATCTTGAGGACCAACTCAGAGTGGACGGCAGTGAGGGGATCCTGCTCTCACTACCCTCAAAATGTCACTGAGTCTAGCCAGTTCCCTCCGTATCCTCCACAGCCACACTACACCTGGCCACCACCACCTCCTGGCTGATGATACAGTGACCTCCGATGGGTCCCCATTACTACCTGTCTGTGTCTGAAGTCAGTTCTCCCTGTAGCTGCCGCTGAGGGGGCCGGCTAAGCACATCAGATCCCTTGAGTCGGGAGTCTGACCTCACCTCCCCACTCGGTGCCTTGCCCTCTAAAGCCTGACTCACTGCACCCCTGCTAGGCCACACAGGAGGCTGCACACGGGCCAGGTGGGCTCCACCTGGGCTCTGCCACAGGGCCCGGCGATGCTTCCCCTTAGCTCTCAGTGAGGCTCCTTCTCCAACAAAAATCACACACCTCCTGCCCTTCGCATTTCCTCCCTGCCTGTGCGATGCATTCTCCACGAGGCGTGTTGATGGTTTCTACGCTGCAGCACTTTCACGTGTTGGTCATTGTTTATGGTGCTCTCCCCTCACTAAAGTGTAAGGTTCATGATGGCAGGGATCTGGTCTATGTCCCTAGAGCCCTGCACATAGTAGGTGCTTAGTAAACATGCCTTGGAGGATGGGATGGATCTGAGAAGTCCCTGAGTTCCCTGGCAGGTGCTCCCATGTATGTTCTCCCACCCTCTCCATTCCTCGCGTGCTGTTTGCTGCCGATGTGATTTTGTGCTTGCTGTGCAGCAATCGCGTCAGATCCATGAGCTCCCATGTCGGTCTCAGTGCCCAGCACAGCGCCTGGCACAGGAGCAGTGAGAAAGATATACTGGCAGGATGAGCACCTGAGTTTCTTTTGTGTGTGTGTGTGTGTGTATGTTGAGACAGGGTCTCATCACCCAGGCTGGAGTACAGTGGTGCAAACAGGGCTGACTTTGGCCTCCACCTCCTGGGCTCAAGCAATCCTCCTGTCTCAAGTAGCTGAAAGCCTCTCGAGTAGCTGAAACTACAGGCATGTGCCACCATGCCTGGCCCTTCCTTCCTTCCTTCCTTCCTCTTTCTTCTCTTCTCTTTTTTCTCTTCTCTCTCTCTCTCTCTCTCTCTCTCTTTCTCTCTCTCTCTCTCTCTGTGTGTGTGTGTGTGAGAGAGAGAGAGAGAGAGAGAGAGAGAGAGAGTCAGGGTCTCTTTCTGTCACCCAGGCTGGAATGCAGTGCACAATGACAGCTCACTGCAGCCTCGACATGCTGGGTTCAAGTGATCTGCCCACCTCAGCCACCTGAGTAGCTGGGGCTTAGGCATGTGTCACCAAGCCCAGCTAACTTTTAACATTTTTTTTGTAGAGATGAGGTCTCCTTGTGTTGTCCAGGTTAGTCTTGAACTCCGAGCTCAAGTAATCCTGCCTCAGCCTCTCCAAGTGCTGGGATTACAGGCATGGGCCACTGCACCCGGCCTGAGCACCTGGGTTTCTATAGGGCTTTACTACCACTGTCATCCCACCAGGCCCTGGTCCCCATGCGGGCTCCACCTCCTCCCAGGCAGGATGCTCAGCATAGTCTGGTCAACTCCGAACCCCCCACTGTGGGCCCCTCACTGCCGTACAATCTGAGCTGGTCCTCAAAGTTGGGACGTTCTGCTCTCAAGTCTACACCAGATCCCTCCAACTGTGCCCACCTCCTCTGCAGAGTCAGCTTCCCAAGCCAGCAAGTCCATCCCCATCTGAAGACTTCCTGAGGCCCTGGGGCTCAGCCTAGGCAGGGGCTTCAGGGGAAAGCAAGAGTGGATGGAGAATGCTTAGGGGCAGGAGAAAGATTGGGAGCTGGCGGGCACTCGGCCTGCCTCAGGCTTCCTCTGAGCTTTCTAGACCCTCTGAGGTAGAACACTGTGGGAGGAAAAGAGGCCTGGCTCCTGCCTCATCCCTGCTGCCCCCGCCGAGGGCTGCCTCATCCTCCCTGCTCGCTCCCCCACCCCAGGGCTCCAGCACGGGGTGTCACTCCCTCCTCAGTCCTTCACTCATTCACAGAGATTTGCTGGGTAATTAGGACACCTGGGGGCCTTCTAGGTGCTGGAGATGCCTCTGCCCTCTGGGAGGGTGTTCTCCCAAGGAAGAGACGAACAGGACAGGACGCAGAAAACAGGTGACGTTTGTGGAGGATGCAAAGGAGAGAAGCTAAAGCTGGAAAGGAAGATGGGAGAGGTCTGAAGATGTGCTGCCATTTTGGATGAGGTGGCCCGGGAAGGCCGAACTGGACTTACCCCCTGGACCCATCCCCCACCCCAATCCACGGGCCTCTGTCCATCCAAGTGGATGGAGCCTGTCACCCCAGCCTCAGCTCAGAGAAACAGCTCTGAACAGCTCTGACCTATCACTCCCTGCTGAAGTCCCTTTAGGCACCCTGGTGGGCAGGGGCCCAGCTCGTTGGCGAGGGGCCTCTCCAGGCCTGCCCCGTGAGCCCTGCCCTTCTCCCAGGTCCTCTGCGCCTGCAGCCGTGGGCAAGCTGGGGAGCTCTCCCTCGGGCGTGCAGGCCTCCCCGCCTCTCCAGCTTGCCGAGGCCAGAACTTCTCCATCCACCCCTGCTTCCTGACCCTGGGCTTGGAGGTCACCTTCCCCCAGACCGAGAGTAGGGCTTGGAGGTCACCTTCCCCCAGACCGAGAGTCCCCACCGCAATCTGCGGCACCCCGCACAGCCCTGCCCGCCCTGCAAGGGCCGGGGCGCTCTTGTCCCGTAGGCCGCCTTGTCCCCGGCCCCCCACGAAGCCGTGTCGAATGAATGAACGCCTCATCGCGTCCGATCTTCCGGGCCCTCCCCGCCGCGGCGGGGGCCGGAGCGCCCGGGCTGGATTCGGGGAGGGGGTAGCGAGGTTGGCAGCCCCCCAACACCAGGGCCGTGATGAGCCGAGGGGACGCCTCTTTGGCGGGCTGGGGGGGCTGGGGTCCCGCGGGCGGAGGCCGCGGCCGGGCGGGTGCGGGGCGGGAGGTGGCGCCGGGCGCTGAGTGGCGGCTCCGGGTCCACCCCTGGCGCGCGGGTGCGGGCGGGAGGCGGGAGGCGGGGAGCGCAGGGGCGGCGGCGGGCGGGAGGCAGTAGCGAGCATGTGCCGCGGAGCCCAGTAACCAGGGACGACCGCGGCCACACCGCGCCGGCGCCGGCGCCCAGCCCAGGCAGCCCCGCGCCGCGGCGCCCGGACCGCCCGGGCCTGCCCAGCGGCCGCCCCACGCCCCGGGCGCCCCGGCGCCGACAGCCGCGCAGCGCAGCGCGGGCGCCGCAGACAAAGGCGCGGCCCCGGCCCGGCCCGCCCGGCCCAGCAGCTCCCGCTGGGAGCCCCGACCGGGTCCGGCCCGGGGGGCGGGGGCCGCGGCCGCCGAGGATGGGGAAATCCAACAGCAAGTTGAAGCCCGAAGTTGTGGAGGAGCTGACCAGGAAGACCTACTGTGAGTGCGCCCGGCCCCCGCCCGCGCCCCCCGGTCGCCCCCACCTCCGCCGCCCCCGCCCCGGGACCCGCGCGCTACCAGCTCCGCGCCGCCGCCTCCGCTCCATCCTCCCCGCCCGGCCTCCGCCGCGGACCCCTCGGAGGCTCCCCGGCCGCGCCCCTGCCCCCCGCCCGGCCCCATTGTTCTGGCACCCCCAGGCCGGGAGTGAGTGCGCGCCGGTCGGCGTTCGCGGCGCCACCCCTAGGTACGGAGGGGCAGCCCCAGCCCCCCTGCAGCCCCCTCTCCGCTCAGCTGTCCCGACGGGCGGGGGGCGTGCGAGGGCGGGGCGGTGGTCCCGGGAGGGGTGCCGGGCTGCGCAGAGCCGACTGGCAGGCGCGCGCAGGGCTGGTGATTCATGCATCACGATGCCGCCGCCGCCGCTGCGAGATTGGCCTGTCGCCCCCTCCCTCGCCCGATCGTGTGTGGAGGGGTGGGTGGCGAGACTTGGCACAGAGCTCGTCGCGCAGTGACGGCGGCGAAGGGTCCTCGGCACCTCTGGGTTGCAGCACTTACAGGCTGGGTTCTCCCCTGCCTGCGTCTCTGTCTGCCAGACCGGGAAATGGGTTTATACAGCCCGGGCTATGTGGGTGGGCTGCGTGTGATCATTAGCTGTCCCGGGCAGCCCCGAGGAGGTGGGCCTGTCCTTTTTGGACGTCTCCAGATCAGTCTCAGTGTGTCTCCTTCCACTTGCTCAACTTCACAACTCTGCAGTCCCCTTGCAGCCCCAATTTCTCCATACCAGGGTTTCCCCTTCCCCGCAGCCTCTCCGGAGGTGCGCCAGCATGCTAGGGGTTAATGGCACTGGGTCCGGACCACCCTGTCTTTCTTTGGGGATGGCGAGAGGGAAGGCATCGGGGTCCAGAAGGACCTCCGTCAAGGTTTTTGACTCGGAAGTGGACAGTGGCTCTGGGCTTGGGTTGGAATTCAAAACCCATCCCCGGGCAGCTGCGTGGGCCCAGGCCCTCTGCACCACCCCTGGAGGCAGCAGCTTGACTGTCAGCCCCTTGTGTTGATGGAGGCTGGGGAGGCAGCTCCTGGTGGTGCATTGCACAACCTCTGCTCCCCGCTTTCCCCCACTCCATCGGTCTTCTGGGCACGTTTGCAGCTCTGTCCAAGCCCACGCTTCAGCTCCATGCCCCTCACCCAACGTGACTGGAACAAAGGGGGCTTTCCTGAGCGGGTGCCAGTCGGCTGCGAGGTGCCAGCCCTTCTGCGGAATCCTGCAGCACGCAGCTCACATCCCAGGAGATGCTCCTGGAAGGGGTGAAGCCCCCCGGCCCAGGGGCTGCACTCACCCTCTCTCCAAGGTGGGTGGGTGGGTGGCCCATTCCAGTCTGGCTGCTGTTGTGTGAGATTCGCTGGGTCCTCCTTCAAGCTAAGTCCAGATGAGGCCCACAGCTGCCAGCAGGGGGGACTTCCTGGGTCCCCCCTGGAACTCCCTGGGACTTCCTGGGCCGGGGGAGGCTGAGGACTCAGTGGGCTTCATCGGGAGTGGTGGGCATGGGCTGCCCGGGATGCCTCCATCATGGTGGGGCAGGGGAGTGAAGCTAGGTTTCCTGCTCATTGAGCATGTCACGTGCCAAGCTCTTGGCATCGTTAGCACCTCGACTCTACCACAACAGCTCTACCAGGCTGCATGCTGCTATGATCTCCATTTACAGATGGGGAAGCTAAGGCTCAAAGGGACAAAGTGGCATGCCTGTGATCCAACAGCTAGTGACTAGGCAGTGTCAGGACTCAAATTCTGGTCTGTCCTGCTTCCAGGCTAGTGAGAGACCTCAGAGCTTATGCCAAGAGCTCTTCAGGGCCAGGAGCGGTGGCTCATGCCTGTAATC